TCCGTCACCGTGTCTGAGGTACGTGCGCCCAGTGTGTCTGGACCCGTCCCGTCACCGTGATCTCAGGTACATGCGCCCAGTGGTTGTGTCTGACCCGTCCGTCCACCGATTGTCTTCAAGCCACCGTCAGCGTGCTTGCTCCGCCCAGTTTGTGGTCTGACCCCGTCCCGTCACCGTTGTTCTCAGGTACATGGCCTACGGCCCGCGTGGAACGGACGGTTCAAGCGTGGGGGACTTGCGAACCTACGGCTTGCCTGCAGTCCGTACCGGGCTGGGGCGCCGGGGCCAGGCCACCTGCAGTGGAGCCAGAAGCACCTGCTGGCCGCCGCCGTCGGCAACACGGTCGAGGTGCGGCGCCTCTCATTGGCTGATGGAGACGGCTTGTGCCGTGGCTTCTCCCAGCTGTTTTGGTCAGATACTGAATATCTTGTGCTTCGTCGGTGTGTGTTACACTTTTAACAAATGACGCGTGATGTCTGGTGTGTGTATGCGCACTTCCTCTTCAACACTTTGGGTGGAGGGTGTCGAGCTTGTGTAGTAAGCTAATCAAATGCGAGGCTAATGCGGTACATTATCTGGACTGTGAGTATTAATCTATGGACTGGGCCTTCCTGGGCACATGGTTTGAAAAATATTGAGCTTGGTTGCATGGTTCATACATTCCAAAACGATGGACCACCCGGGAATCACTTATCGTAATCATGGTGTTTTGCGCGTTTTTTCACCTGGTGACTGATGGTGTGGTGACGCCTGTTCTTTTGGTGGCAACCGCTGTGATGACACCTGGTGACCTGGTGATACCTCTGATATGATCACACTTGCTCACGTGGTGACCGTTGGTATGATGACGCCTGTTCACTTGGTGACCAATGATATGATGGCGCCTGTTCACCTGGTGACCGATGGTATGATGGCACTTGTTCACCTGGTGACCGGTGGTGTGGTGACGGCTGCGGTGGTGACCAGGTGTACCGGGACTGCGTGTCCACGCCGCCGGACCGACCCTACCTGCGACACCGCATGTCGGGCAGCGTCAGTGGCTTGCAGTTCTGCCCGTACGAGGACGTGCTGGGCGTCGGACACCGCGACGGCTTCACCAGCATACTGGTGCCCGGTAGGTGGCGGTGCCAGCGGCGCACGCGCGCAAAACGTGGGGCGTGTGGCCGGCACACGTGAGGCGCGAGGGACAGTGGAACACGGCTTCTTTGTGGGGTGTGCTCTTCAGCGCTGTCCCAGCAAGCTTTATGTGCATGATGCAGTTGAGACGAGAGCGGAGGAGAGGAGCGTGTCACGTCGAAAGGACACGCACGGAGCGCGTCACGTCGGAAGGACACACACGGAGCGTGTCACGTCAAAAGGACACACACGGAGCGTGTCACGTTGAAAGGCCACACGGAGCGTGTCACGTTGAAAGGACACGCACGGAGCGCGTCACGTTGAAAGGTCGCATACGGAGCGTGTCACGTTGAAAGGACACACACGGAGCGTGTCACATCGAAAGGACACGCACGGAGCGTGTCACGTTGAAAGGACACACACGGAGCGTGTCACGTTGAAAGGGCGCACACGGAGCGTGTCACGTCGAAAGGACACACACGGAGCGTGTCACGTCAAAAGGACACGCACGGAGTGCGTCACGTTGAAAGGACACGCGCGGAGCGTGTCACGTGGAAAGGACACGCACGGATAGATCATGTCGCGTTGCTCGTCTCGAGCTTTCCATGCGAACTCTCAGTAAATAAGTTCCCAGAGGTTCCATAGTGCCACTTGTTCCTTCATGTGCGTATGAGCGTTTCACATTTATCCAACACTAGTGAAATATTCCGGTGTGTTTGTCAGCTTCCGAAATTAAACATTTGCTGTTAACACGTGAGCGCAAACGTGGTTTGAGAGGGGCGAGATGAAAAAGATGATCGTGATCTGCTGTTCGTAAAACCTGTGGTGAGACTGTGTTAGAGGTTGGATTCGGCTAGGCCAGATTACATGTTTTTAATCGTTATCGTCTGTGGTAGCAGCGGTCTTAATGCCAGCACAATTGTGTGATTAAAGTGCTCTGTTCACGCACAACGAGCTTGTTGCATTGATGCCCGCATGTAAAGGTGAACATTGGTTTAGTTCGCTTCCATCTCATGCATCTCGTTGCCAAATATGGTCAGATGTGTCGCGATACTACCCAGAACGCCCGGCGTGATGGCGGCGGTAGTTTGCGGCGCAGTTCCAGTCACGTCTTACGGTCGAGCGGGCCGCTCTGTTTCGGCTCAACCGCGCCGACAGATTGATATAAGTCACGACTGGCTGAACGCTGCCGACTATTTCTGTTGGGTCTGTGTGGGCGTCGTATCGAGCGCTATGTGCGTCTATTATTAATGAATGCTGTCACCCTAATATTTACCGCTGCTTACATAGTATGCAAGGCTCCGAATCTCTATCGTTATATCATCGTTGGCATGCGCCTGGGAGTGGCCTGGCGAAAATATGCCATCGGCCGACGTGGCATGCGGCCCGTAACGGCGGCGCTGAGCTGGGGCAGACGGGCCGCCCGATTGAACTGTAAGCAGCTCACGTCACCGCGTGGCCGCCAGCTGGCCGGCTGGCAGCCGGGCGAGGTTTGGCAGCGCTATCGGGCGCCGGCGGGCCCGGAATGGCCTCGGCCTCCCCGGCTTGTATATGCCGCTAATCGCACGCGGAAATGGATACGTCCAAAGCGATGCGCGGTGGGGCGGCCCTATCGGATGTTTATCTGGCGCCCGAGCCACTGGAGGCCAGCGAGCGGCGGCGGCGTCCGGCCGTCAGCTCACGTGACCCCTCCGTCTGCCCCCAGGCGCCGGCCAGGCCAACTTCGATGCGTACGAGAGCAATCCGTACCAAACGAAGAAGCAGCGTCGCGAGGCCGAGGTCAAGCAGCTGCTGGAGAAGGTAGGAGGGCGCCGCTGTGGGCCGGTCCCCGGGGAGGCGAGTGTGCGGTGGGGTCACGCCAGCTCTCGCTCCTTGGGGAGTGAGAGGGCGCTGGACCCACGCCAGCTCGCGCTCCCAGGGGAGGCCCAGACACGTGCAGGTCCGCCAACGGACGCCTGGCGGGGCCCGCGGTGGGACGGACCCCGTGCCGCCCTGGGGGCGCGGAGACGGACCAGACGGCCGGCCGCCTGTCCGCCGGGCCAGGGCGTCCCCCAGTCTGTAGCGCTTGTCAGCTGCTCCGGGGACCGGGGAGGGGCACGGCGTCCCTGTGAAGCTGCACCAGCTGCTCCGGGCATGGGAGCAGGGCAGGGCACATCCCGCTCTGTAGCGGTCAGATTCCTCCTGGACGCACCGTTGAGAAGCGGGGCGGGCGTCGCCAGGCCTGTACCTATTAACCGCCCGGGAACCGGACGCTAAGTGGACTGAGCGCGATGGATTTCGATAGGAAGTTCCCAATTGACGTGATCTGCGTTGGTGATGGTGAAGCCCGCACGCCGTGCATGCTGTGACAGGGACCGGGACAGTGAGCTGGACAGGCAATATTTCCGACCCTGTATGTCAAGTCATCTCACGCTCTGAGCTGTTGAGGACCTGGGCGGTGATCTGGACAGGTAGTATCTCCGATCCTGTATGTCAAGTCATCTCACGCTCTCAGCTGTTGAGGGGTGGCGTGCTGCTCTCGCGGTCGCGCGGTCGCGCGCGGTCGCGGTCGCGTGTCGCGCTCCGATGGGTGCGTGGCGACCCGCGGGCGGACGCTGCGTGACAATGTGACCAGCGCGTGACGTGACGCGTGCCGCTTTGTGGCGTGGTAAGCCCGGCTGGAGGCTGACCGGCGGGGTCGTGGTCCGCCAGGTCCAGCCGGAGTTGATCACGCTGGAGCCGGCAGAGCTGGGCCAGGTGGACACGGCCACTCTCCAGGAGAAGGTGGCCGCCAAACAGAAGCTGCTGGTGGGTAACTCCGCTCCGTTCCCCGGCCCCTTCACCGTTCCATTCTCTCATGTTGGCGCGAGGCGTTTGGCTGAATGTATTTGGGCCTGCTGCAGTTGGGTAACGATCGAACACCCCGCCCTACGCTGCCTTGTGAAGAGTCCAATCTCACTACGCGGCTGTCTTGCCGTTCCTGGCGCATGGCGTATTAGTGGGATTGCACTATGCCATCATGAGGGTGAGAATCCGTATTCATTGTGGCACGTTCTGGCTGCGGTCTGTGTCTTGTGTCAGCCTCGCCCAGGCGCTGCGAGCGTCCTGCGCTGTCGGGATGGTCCAAGTGTCGTCAGTCTTGGTGATCCCAGCCGGCGGCTGGCCTGGCCTGGCCTGGCCTGGCCTGGCCTGGCCGCGCCGCGGCGTGACGTCTGCGCCGTGACGGCCGGGGCCGGCGACGGAGCGCGCCGCCGCCGACACCAGCTGACGTATGCGCGTCGGCCTGCTGGGCGTAAACAGGGGGCCATCTGCCGCGGGCCGGGCGCGCGCGCGCGCTCGCTCTCGCCCTCGCCCTCGCCCTCGCCCTCGCCCTCGCCCTCGCCCTGATGTCTGACACCGCTGACTGTGTCGCGCAGTACGTGAAGGCGCCCAAGATCGACTTCCAGCCGCGAAACAAGACCAAGGGGCGCAGCAAGGCCGGCAAGATGGCCGCCCGCAAGAAGGGCGTCATCGGTCTGGAGCAGAGGGTACGCGTGCTAGGATTGGGAACTACTGCGCTGTCCTTGTGTATCATACGCCATCCCCAGAAACTCCGAAATGTTACATACATTGTTCGAGCAATGTCGCAGATATTTCACTTCACTTGAAGGGCATCTGCTCCTGTTCTCTTCAGTTCCACCACTGTGCCCTGGAAAAGAGCTGGCGGGTGTTCAACACCAGCTATTGGTGGACATCCCATGCATACATTTACACGCGTTGTTCTATGCGCTGGTCAATTTCTCGGTCTTGTACCAATTCCCTGAGTTGTCTGGATCTGGTGACAAATGCTTTATCACCTGCAGCCCCATCGGTAGCAGCACTTCCACATGACGTCCGGTGTGTTTGCAGAAATACCTCAAGGAAGCGAAGAAAGCGTCTCAAAAGCTGGTGAACGCGGAGAAGAAGCCGGCAAAGTCTGCTGCGGTCCAGCGGGCGGTGCTGGACAGGTTCAAGAGGAAGCCCATGTAAAGCGGTGCTCGTCCAGTCGAAAAATATATCTCTGGAATGAACGGACCCGGTGGGACCACTGAATGGTGTCGTCAGGCTCGTCTCTTGGAACGCTTCCAAGAATGAACCGCATCCGCAAAATTGGCAGATTCCGCTCCGCCTCGCTGCCGAGCCGCATCTCTGGTGTCAGTCAGGCGCGGCCAGGCGCAGGCCCGCCGTGGAGCGCGGGACCGCCGGCCGACCGCCACAGGCGGCGCCACCAGCTGCGCCGGCGCCCGGCCGACGCGACGCTCCTCACTCTCGGCCCCGCAGCTGCGCAGTCTGTCGCGCTCGGTCGATATCGATTCGGACACGGTGCAAGGCCCGACACGGCCGCGTCCGGCGGCGGCCGACGGCCCGGGCTGGCCAAGCCAAACAGCGGGCCGGCCGGCGCGCTGCCAACGGCCGGGGAGTTCACGGCCGCCCGACGCCGCCCGCCCGGCCGGCCTCTGGACGGCGTACGCGCAGTTGGCAGGGTGGAGCCAGACGGGTGTCCTACTCTGGGCCTCCGAGCAGGTGTGGTGGGGTAGGAAGCCGGCGCCGAGCGGCCGGAGGGGCTCGTCATTCAGTGAGGGTGAGAGGGGAGCCCTCGGGGCGCGCGTCGCCCGTCCAGTCACGCGGGCGGAGCGTGGCCAGCGTCCCACCCGCCAGCCCCCAGATGGAGCAGGAGTTGGGCACGGAGACGGGTGGGCGCTGAACCGGCCAGAGCGGGGACTACGGCCCGGTCCGGTCCGGCCCGTTGCTTGGCGGGCGCGGTACTCTGGCGCCAACCGAAGGTCACCTTCCGCTCGCTCCGGCCGACCCGGAAACACAGACGGCCATGAAATCAGCGATTGGTTTATTCTGTTACTAACATCTACAAATAGCTCACTTAAAATGGATAACATTACTTTGTTAAAACAGCGTTCCATTGCTCAGTGCACATACTGCGATGAAACACAAGCGCCGGGCTACCCAGCCCGCCGAGCGCCCCAACACAACACAAAAAGGACAGTGCGCACGCGCAACAGAGGCCAATGTAACAACTGATGGTAAAACTAGAGATGAATGAATTGGTCCTGCCTGACAAAGGTGTTGTGGACGGAATGATGCGAATTTGTCATGAAGGCCGCTGCTAACTAACGCGCTACGGTTGAGTGATACACTACGACGCCCGTCCGCTTTGTAACTGCACTGCAGCGGCGGTCGGCGCCTTAAGACGCAAACACGACCAACGGGCCCGCCGCGTCCGCTGCGCCGGCCCCCGAGCAGCCTAAAACGCAAACGGGTGCACTTTGTATAAATAAAACCGAGACGCCGGTGGCGGTTTGGTCCGAGCATGGCACGGACGACACCGGACAATAAATTACCGCCCAGGAGTCCGCCAACCCGAAAGAGTTAAAAGGCGGGCGCCGCGAGGCCCGCCAGTTAGCACCGTCTCATCAGCTACGGAGGCGCGCGCGGCGCAACCCGGCGCCGCCGGGGCCGAGGCGCGGCGGCGCGCGGGCGGGGCGCGCGCGCCAGGTGGGAGGCTGCGGCCGCTCTCGGGTGCGCGCACCGCGAGGTAGGAGGAGGGAGGCGGGCGGCCCGCCGCCTAGCTGCCCGGCCCGACCGGTTTGTACTGTGGTGGCGCGCCTACCGCGCTGGCCTGCTCCGCTGCACAACGCACTGCACGGCCTCGGCCACCGCCTCGAACACGGGCACGCCTCTGCGCGTGGCCAGGTCCGACAGGTACGAGCGGCCCCGGTTGTAGTCCTTGATGGCCGTCGGCGTCAGCTGCGGGCGACATCGAGCATGGTGTCAGGCGGCGGTACGCCCAGACACACCAGCATAGACCACGCACATCCGACGTCCCACGAAGTCACGCGTGGAGAGGGAAAAACGAGGCGAGCAGATTGTGACCACGGTCAGCACATGTACGTTGCACGTACACACCCCCGTGGATGCATACAGCCAGTGCATGACCCCTATATGCCAAGACGAAGCACCGATCTATACACGTGGAGAGCAGCCTCGTGAAGTGCCATTCGAGACCGAGTGTCTCGGCGCCGTACGGGGCGACGGCGCGCGGCACCGGCGGGGCGGGGCCTACCTTCTCGCCGCGGATGACGCAGTTGTCCGGCAGCATCTGCACGCAGAGGACGACGCGCGCACCCAGGCCGATGTAGTGCGCCGCCACCGTCATATGCACCGAAGCTCGTGACGTGTCGGTGATGACGAACAGCAGCTGCCGGCAGCGCTCCAGCCGGGCGGCCGCCGTCGGCGTCAGGCGCTCCGAGCGAGACGGCGGCGTCGGCGGCTCGAACGAGAGGCCCGCCTTCCTGCCGGCGGCGACGAGACGGGCGTCACGGGTCTGACCGGCGGCTGGCCGGCGACACGACCGGCGACAGGCAGAAACACCTAGGCTGGCCGCGGTGGGCCGCCGCGGCCTGGCGCAGTCCTCGCGCCGAAGGCAAAGCCGTGCAGCGGGCCACAACGCCGGACGAGCGACAACAGCCGCTGAGGACCCTTCTCAGTCGCTCTCACTGTGCGTGGCGCCTCAAGCGCCGCCCGCCCACGCCCGAGCACTCACTTGAGTAGGGGAATGGCGATGCTCTCCCGCCAGGCGGTGTCGGTGCTCGTGCCGCCGAGGTACACGTCGCGCACGTCGGCCGCCGGCGCGCTGTTGCCGTTGTTGCTGAGTTGCCGAGCCAGCCGCTGCGGCAGCACCCACTCGGCCACCCGGGTGAACGGGGTCAGCAGCATCTCGGCGGTGCGCGAGAGGACGGAGGGCCCGGACCGGCCGCGCGCCGCGCGCCATCCGCCGCTCTGCAGCTCGGTGACCAGCAGGCAGAAGTCCTCGAACGCGATCCGGTCGTTGGATACGACGCCATTGGTCCGCTCCGTCACATCTGGCGACGGCGAGGGGTGGCGTCACGGCACGGGACCGCCCGGCGCCGCGCACGCTCAAAGTGCGGCCTCTGTTGACACCCACCACGCACGGCACGATCTCTCGTCACACCGCTCACGCAGACGGGGTGAGAGGTGGCGGACTGGCGCTCACCTCGGATCTGAGCCAGCAGGAGTCTGACGTCGCTGGGGCAGACGACGCGGCCGGTGGCCACCCGCAGGGCAGCGCACGTCTCGCCCGCACTCAGGCAGCCGCGGCCGTCTGAGTCCTGGTTGGCGAACACCTCCCGCAGCCTCCTGTCGGTGCAGAGGGCGCCACTGTGACGGCCGGACCGGCGGCGTCGTGACGGCAGGTACGCGACGGCCCGCGCGCTCTCCGCCGGTCCACACTACGAGAGAGCTGGCTACCGCAATCAATGACCACAAGCTCGTGATGGGCTCAGTGCACCGAGCGTTTGAAGAAGTTGTAAAACGAAGGCCGATGCGGAACAAAAACATTGCATCACCGTCTTTTAACGGAAGGGATTACGTGTTGGGATACACAAGGATTAACTCACGGCCGCGCCAGCACATCGGTCGGTTCGGCAGGCCGAGTTTTCGGAGACTTACTGCAGTTTGTCGGCCAGCGTGATGTGTGCGTTTCGAACTGGCACGGCATTATCGTCCAGCTGTAAATCTTGTACTCGGATATCTTTTCTCAACACCTGCGACCCAAGGACGCGCGCCGTCAGAGCTCGGCCTTGGTATCAGCTGTGGGCCGAGTCCCCCACTCATAGTACACCTCATCTGTCTCGCCGGCCGCCGCCCGGCCCACCGCTCGTTCTTCGCCCCCGGCGATACAGGCACGCAGAACAAACAGAGGCAGCGGATTCGCGCGAGTCACGCCGCCTTTTATCGCGCTGTCGCACAGAATAGGGGGGGGGGGAGGGGGGCACGGTCCAGCGCCGCCTCGGCAGCTGACCAAACAGTCCGCAGGCGAGGCGGCCGCGGCGCAGCGAAGGGCCGGAGCGCCGCGGCTCGTCTCCGCCGAGCGTCGCGACGCGGCAGCATTGTCTCATCGGCGTGGGAGGCATGGCACGAGCGCCCCGTATCTCGCCTCGGCTGGGGACGCGTGAGAGGCCGCCAGCCAGCCGGCGCCAGCTAAACAAACACTGCAAGAGCGCCGGGGCCGCCCGGGTGGCCAGGCCCACCCCATGGCTGATGACGCCGGGATGACGTCACATCGGCGGCTGACGTCATACCTTGTCCGTGCAGTCGAGCGCCGACGAGATGGTCTCGAAAACAGGAAGCCCCTGGCGCTCCACCAAGTCTTGGAGATAGTTTTGCGTTCTATCCAGATCACAGTATTCCCTGCACGAAGAGTTTCAGTGTCACACAGGTGGTCACAGCCCGTTCAGAGGGATCATGCACGTCTTCGGGGGTGGGAGGCACTATCACGAAAGCCGTCGTCCCTTTAAAGTCACAAACGCACTAAGAAAGACCTCACTACAAAGACCGCGATAGCGGTGGTCAACAGCCAGGTGAGATAAGCCTCAACGAGGGGCCGGCAAAGCCCTGTTTGGATAGCAGCTGGTGCAGATAGCGGCACACCACGATAGCAGGTGGGCTGGGTGGAGCGGCGCGTGGTCTAGCGCCGCTATGGCGGGCCGCTGAGCGCGGCGCCGCCGATCCGCTGAAGGCTGCGGCGCAGTGCGCAGCGAGCACGGCCGCCAGATACGACCGGCCCAGCGAAGGATAGCCCGGCCCAGCCCAGCAGCCCCGGTCTTGACATGACGTCAGCAGCCACAGGCGCCGCCAGGCCGGGGCCACTTCCCCTTCGGTCCGCGTGTTCTTCATTTTAGCGCTCCATTAGGCCCCTCACAGACAGTTATAAATGTCGCGACGAGTTCTCAATGAATTCGACTCCCTCCCTCATCCCTATAGGAATCCTGGCTGTCTCCCCGCCAGCGCCCGTCGCCGCGCCGGCCCTGTGACCTGGGCGGGGCGCCGGCCGGTGCCGAGCCGCTCGAGTCCCGGCCCGGCTGTTGTTTCGCCGCGGCGCGCCGTCAGACCGCTGGCACGCCCTGAACGCCCGTCGCCGCGCCGGCCCTGTGACCTGGGCGGGGCGCCGGCCGGTGCCGAGCCGCCCGAGCCCCGGCCCGGCTGTTGTTTCGCCGCGGCGCGCCGTCAGACCGCTGGCACGCCCTGAACGCACACGCGCGCCTCAAGGTCGCGACGGCAGCCCGCCGAGCAGCCAAACAACCCGCCTCCTGCTGTACTCAGAGTGGGCGACAAGCGATACCATAGGGAGGGGGGGGGGGGGGGCGCTCACGTGTTGGTGATGGCCTCGCCGCAGATGGTCTGGCCGGGTCCGGACAGTCGGCTGACCACCAGCACCAGCTTGCGGCCGCTGGCCGCCAGGTACGAAGCCTCCAGCATGGAGGAGACGGCGCGCGTCTGGTTGTCGATGACGAAGAACAGGACGGTGGCACCCTGTTTGGCCTCCTCCTCCAGCGCGATCAGGCCCGGATGCCAGGACGCCACTTGCTGAGGGCACGCGACAGCGCTCGGTCAGCTTTCGGTGACGCACGGCCGGCCGCGGCGCCCCACCACAGCCCTATGTTTATTGTTTATTCCTGGCAGATAGCGATGATTGGCGGTGACACGTTCGGTTTGCCTCGACGGCGGCGCGACGCGCTTGGCGATCCTCAGCTGGCGGGCGGGGTGAAACGCTACCCCAGCCGCAGGGGTTAACAACGAGGAAAGGTCACGCAATTGCGACCAAGACGTCACAGCGCAACACCGTCGGATCATCAAGATGTCACAAACAATGCACTGGGAGAGTCTGAAACCGAAGCTCGCCGGGCGGCTGCAAGGGTCGGGAGGGACAGGATGGGGCATCAGGCCAGCCAGATGGCGCACGTGCCGCTGTTTACTACGACTCGGAACAATGCGCCGGATGAGAGCGATCGGTCGCGACAGACCGCTGTAGCCCCGCACTGGGCGGCCGAGACAGACCGCTGCAGCCCCGCGCTGGGCCGCCGAGGCAGACCGCTGTAGCCCCATAGGCGGCCGGGCCCGGCACCGAGGTCACGTCTGACCGAATGCGGCAGGGCCCGACAGGGCGCGCCGGCGGGCGGCGCCCTGTCGGGCCGCTATCCGGGCCGCTTCCGCTCTCCTCAGGCGGCGCTCACGGCGCGCGGCTAACTCGGCGCAGTAGGCGCGGCCTCGCCGGCCCGCCGGGGTGGCCCGCTGTCGCCGGGCGGCCTTGTAAACAGCGGCGGTGCTATTCGCGGGTCGAGCCGGGCTGTCAGTCGACGCTGGCCGGCTGCCACCAGCGGCGGCGCAGCGGCGGCGCGGCGGCACCAAGCGACCTCCCCGCTTCCAGACCCAAAACCTGACAACAGCCGGCCATCCCAGCCGCCGCCGACCACTCGACAGGGCCGGCCGACCTCGGTCCGCCGTCTCCTGCGCCCCTGCTGCCGCCTGAGACGCGTCCATAACTCAGCCGCCGGCGCGCCGCTTCCGATGCGGCGGACGCGGCGGCGTGCGCTGTGTCCTTGGCGGCGGCGGCGGCATGGGGACTCGCGCGAGGTCTGGTGGCGACCGCGGCGCGCCGCGACGCCCGGCCGGAGCGTCAGGACGACGCGCGGGCTGGTCGGCCGACCGCCTCCGGTCGGCATTGGCGCCGGCGAGGCCAGCAGCCCTGCTCCGCAGCACGTACCGGGTTGTAGTAGGTGATGCCCAGCTCCTTGAGCCGCGGGATGGCCTCGTCGTGCCGCCACGTGGTCGGGTTGCAAGAGCCGCCCAGGAACACCTCGTACTTGCCGCAGAGGGGCGGCGGCCTGCGCGGGAGACGCGCTGGCAGCCGCTCCTGCTGGCAGGATATGACGGCCGGCTGCGGTACCTTCCTGAAACGGCGCACAGCAGGGCCGTTAGCTGAGCCGTCAGCACAGCAGGACAGCAGCACAGCAGGGCCGTCAGCTGCGAGCGGTCGGGCCGCGGCCGCTGGGCTCGGCCGACGGCGCAAGACGCCAGCCAGACGAGATCCGTCTGGCCGCCACTGCCAGCCCGGAAGTCCGAGAAAATGGAGTTCCTCGAGCGGTGTTGATATTTCCCGAGGGCGGTGAGCAACGGCAGTCATGGTCAGCCGAATCTGTGGGCCAGTCCTAGCCTTTGCAGGTCCTGGTCCGTTCCGTCCTGACGTGAGCGCAGCTGCTGCGCCACAGCCGGATACAACACGCTCCAATCTAAACACATATACGTTAGGGTAGGCTTGTTTTTCAGTCAAGCTTGCATTTCAAGCTGATCTAAGACGACGGGCTAGAGCCAAACACCAATAGCCAGAGTGGTGGCTGGGGGAGCTGGCGATGGCCCAGCGGTCGGTATCGTCGGCTCTAATCAGGCGGCGGCGGCGGCGGCGGCGGGGGGAGGGGGGCTATCGTCAGGCGGCGGCCCAGCTGGTCGTGAGTCACCTGCTGCTGATCACAGGACTGTGCTCGGGGCCGGTCAACAACGCTCTCGGCCGCCGGGCACGATTAAAGTCCCGCCAGCCTGTTCTTTCGCCTCCGCGCCGCGGGCCAGCGCGCTACTTCAGCGGGCAGGCGCCATCCTGGCTCTTGCCAGGGGATGCGTCGGTGCCCCCTTCAAAATGGGCTACAGCGCCACCCGTTGGGCATCTCTCACGCCCAGCATGTCTGAGCTGATAGAGTCTGGATGGCGAACGTCTCCGCAGTTCGAGGTCGATGGCAGGATGGTGGGATAGGATGCTCGGTACCGGCACCGTGTCCTAACGCCCACACTGGGTGGACACCGCGGGAGGCCTCCAACGCCGGATAGTGGCCGCAGCGGTTACACCAGCGGAAATGGCAAACCAGGTCTTTCCGGCGAGCAATCGGCGAGACCAAGCCTTCCTGGCGGACATCTGGGATATGCGATAGATTTCAGTGCACCACTGGCGACAACAGGAACACTGGTGTGCTTCCAGCGACACCAGGTGCTCCCGGTATGCCACCGGCGACATCATGCGCCCCTGGTATGCCACTGACGACACAAGGTGCCCCGTTGAGCCACGGGAGACACCAGGTGCTCCCGGTGCGCCACTGGCGACACCAGGTACTTCCGGTGTGCTACCCGCGACACCATGCGCCCCTGGTAGGCCATCAGCGACACCAGGTGCTCCCGGTGCAACATGAGTGATACCAGGCATCCTTGGAATGTCATTGACACGTTCACGCATGTCCGGCTTTAGTCCGGAGCTGCTTGAGTTTCCCCGACCGTCCCAGGCCAGGTCTGGGTAAGCTGGACAGTTGGAGCAGCTCGGCCAGTGACCGTGCACTGGTGTCCGGCCCGTGTCCGGCCCGTGTCCGGCCCGCTCGGGCCGTGACCGTGCACTGGTGTCCGGCCCGTGTCCGGCCCGCTCGGCCCGTGACCGTGCACTGGTGTCGGGCTGCGGGCGGACGGACACGCGCGACAGCCGCCGCCGCCGCCGCCGCCGCAAGGGACAGGCCGTCCGCGCCCACGTCCGCCGGGCAGCCGGCGACTTGCCCACCGTGTTAGGGATGAGGACGGAGGTCCGTCGGCGGGACGACTGCGGTCACCGGAACACGGGTCAGATTTTCAGGCGCCCAACCCCGCAGTCCCCTGGGTGTGTTCGGCCCCGCACTGGCACTGGCGCCGCCCTCACACTGCCCACATCTATGATTACCCTCAATTAAAACGTTGAGACAAGGAGACAGATGATCAACGGAACAAACGGCGAGCTTTTAGGAGCCCCCAGAACAAACACTGGTGCCGATCGGGTGTGTCAGTCTAGCCGATTTGACGCTCTGCAACTCCGTGGCTCCGAGCCAGCCCCCCCCCCCCCCTCCCCCCAAGGCTGTCACCTACTTTTTCAGGCCATGCACGAAGACACAGAGGGACGGGAATCTGATCTCGTCGGCGGTCCGGCTCGAGCAATCCCGGCTGGACTGCACCATCTCCTGGACTGCAACAACGAGAGCGAAAGACAGCGTCAGTTACAGCGGTGGCGCCGCACTCAGTCCCCCCTGGGGTGAGCGAGACCGGAGGGGATTGTGACCGAACAGCACCATCTCACAACACCAGAACACAGGCTGCATTGCACTTGTGACCTAGGCCAGTACGGTGAGATGCAGCGCAATGCGCAGCGGTTCTGTTTCGGGAAAATAGCCACGAGTTCTGAACGGCTTCTTACGTTACATCAACAGGCGTCATTGTCATAATCCGCAGGGTACACGAAGTACGGGGCACAGTGTTTGTTAATAGCCATCCCGGGACAGGCATACACTCAACAACCAACGCCCAGGCACCAGTCCAGTGGCAACAAGCTGGAAGGCGCAGGTCTCCTAAAGCAAGGTATTGACGTAGCTCTTCACTCAGCAATCATAATACTGATGAGCGGCACAGGCGGCGCGGGCTGCTGACGGACCGGGGCCGTGTGCGGCGCCGCAGAGGCCGGCTGGGGCGCAGGTGCCCCGCCGGCCGCCGCCGTCGCCGTCGCCGCGCTGCCCCCGGTCCGGACGCCGCGCGCCGGGCGGCGCAGCACCGCAACGCCACGGCCAGCCGTGCCGATGGAGTAAACAGGGAGCTCAGTGTCGGCCAGGCGAGCCGGTTTCCGTGTTAATACCCGGCCCGACAGGTGGAGTGACCCAGCCGGCCTTGAGCGGCCTGGGACCGCACCAATGGGCCCGACAAGTGTCACAGCTCCCGGGGCCCTGCCGCCCGACAGCAACGGCAGCGTCCTGGCGTGCCCGCTCTCCCGCACTTCGCTCCCCCGGCTTCCCCGAGTGAAATCGATTCCGACAATATAGTTGGTGCTGTTTCCGCTCCATTCATCGCATGCGTGCTGCCCTCGTCGCGCCTGCCCTTGAATGAGGGGGGGGGGGGCTGTGAATGGTTCTGCACATTTCAGCGCCCCCTACCCCTGTCGCTGGGCCCCTGGCCGCTGACCGCTCCGGATCAGCGCTCCGGGGCGGAGCTGGGTGGCGGTCGGCAGGCGGCCGGCGCTGTGGGCCGGGGGCGGTGCCAACCGGCTGGCGCGGCTCGCTGTCACGACCGGCAGCGTCGCCGGGCGGCGTGGCCCGGCGCCAGCACGTCAGCCCGAAATACCGCCGCTGAGCCCACGCACCGCCGCACCACTCCAAAACGGAGCGCTGACACACGGCCCGGGCGGCGCGGCGACCTGCACGGCGGCGTGTCTATTTCGGAGCGGCACACTGACGCAGCGGCGCGAACACAAGGGCTTCCGGAGCAGGCCGCGGCCCCGGCCGGCCAGCAGCGCCAGGCGTAGATCAAGGACTTCCGGGGCGAGGCGCACCTCAAGAGAGCGGGCAGTCGAGTCCTGGATCAAAGCACCTCGGGTGCAGCGCCGCCAGCGTGCCGCACAGTCAAACGCTCGCGTGCAGGGGTTGGAGATACGATCGTGCTCTGCAGCGAATCATTCCTCCGGCCCAGCAGCGCAGGTGTCTATTCGGAGGGGTCGGCCTGTGCCGGCAGCTAGACATCAGGCCATCACAGATGGCCGCCGATCGACCGGGGAGGAACCGCAGCTGCACCGCGCCGCCCCGGTACTGCCGGCCGAGCGCTGCGCTCGCCCATCGTGCCGGAGCCCTCCGGCCGGCCGGCGGCACGGCGCCAGCGACCCGGCGTCCCTGGGCCAGCGACCGGCCGGCCGGCGCGCCGTGTCGAGCGAGCGGTGGCCGCCCAGGACGCGGCGCGCTGACCTGGGCGGCGAGCAGCGGGGCCGGCGACAGAGCCGTCTGGCTGGCCGCCGCCGCCGCCACTGCCGCCGCTGCATCACCAGCGGGCACGCAGGGCCGGCCTGCCGCCGCTGTCAGCCCTGCGCCTCACACCATCAGGGGGGTGGGTCCGCTGGCTGCGCGACGCGGTTACAGAGTCGCCCGTCTTTATCCAAGTAGGCAAAACACCTAATTCTAGTCAAAGGTGGAGTATCGCGTCGGCGCCCAAGTGCACACCTGAACAAGACGGCATCATAATTGTGCTAGACTGCGCTGGTCAAAAGTTGAAGGTTCCAAAATGACTCGGGAGTCACCAAGTCGCAAGCGCATTCAAAGCGCTTGTCGTCTACACAAAACTCTTCCATAACGCTGTGACGGAACAGCTTTGCGCACGCTCCTATGCAACTTCATCCGGCTCCCGCCGCGAAATAAAAACGCCGAGCCTAAGGAATGTCGGACGTTGCCACCCGAGGCGGTTAAGGTAACGATCGATCGGGGACGGCTCACAGAACACCACACACGTACACACCACCCACCGCCACTGTTGACGTCTGCCTTGGCCCTGCTGCTCCTGACGCGGCGCGTGGCGCGCGCCAGGCTGGCGTGTGCCAGCTGCTTGCGCTGCGGCCGGCCGCCAGCGCGTGGCAGCTTCTCGTAGCGCCCCTGCTGGGTCAGGGCGCCCTTGGCGTACGGCGGCGCGCCCATGGCGAGCACTGGACACGGCGCCGGGTCCCGCCCGCCGCAACGCCCCCACACACTGCGCGCAACTGGCCGCCCTCGCCGCGCGGCCCGTGACCAAGGTGTGGCGACGCCAGCGCCGCGCGGCGGTCGCTGGCCGCACTAGCGGACTAGGCGACCCCGGGAGGCCGCACTATCACGCCGCCTGCCGCCAGTGGGGGCCGCGGCGGGGCCGCTCCGGGGCGGCACGGCACGGCACGGCACGCTGAGCCGTGCACGCGTATACACCGGGGACACGGCACGCGTCGGCTGCCGCATGCGTTTGAGCACTCCGGGATCAAACGAGAACGATTTTCTCGATCCCCTGACCGGACGCGAGGCAAAGTCACGTGTTCGGAACTGCGGAAGCCTTTCTGCTTATGAGGGGATCCTGAATGCCCCGGCCAATGGTCACGGCAGTTGGCACGTGCAATCCATGAGAAGCGCGCGTCAATTCTTCTCAACATCCTAATGTAAATCTGGCGACACACTCCGGAACCCAACGCAACTGGACCGGAAAGTGTTTGACATGGAAATCCACCCTGACTAATCTGTACGCGGGAGCGCCTCCCCACACTGTTCGGGCGCA